TATATATATATATATATCTTATTTTTGTTGTACAATTTTAAAATCTTACTTTTTTAAAAATCCAGGAGCTATCCGGTCTTATGCATTGGAACTTAACTTGACAGATTCAGAAAAAGCTACTTGCCTTTATGCAAAATGGCAGATGAGTTTCAAAATACACTATGAAACTACAAGCAAAACTAATGTAAGTAAATATTTTTCTTTGGGTTTTATTGTTGTTGTGTGCCGTCGAGTAGGATCCGACTCATAGCGACCCCTCCTTGGGTTTCCGAGGCAGTATCACTACGGAAGTAGTAGGAATTTAATTCTAACTTTTTAAAAATTCTTGAAATACATTTATACAAATAAGATTTCATACGTTGACTAACAACACTTAAAATCTGTTTGTTTTTATAAACATATACGTGTAAAGGTATTGTTTCATGCTGAAATGAATATTTTTTTCTAATTCATGGGTTCACTGAAGTTTTTCTTGGAGTTGCTTAAAGGCAAAAATGATCTGAAGGACTATATGGTGCTGAAGCCTAACTACTTCTGTCATGTGCTTGGCTTTTTTTAATAGCTTGCTATTAAAATTTTTATTTTGTTCTCCTCTTGGTCTTTTTATAAAATAATTTATTTAATATTTTTGTTGGTGGTGTTGAGAATATGTATAGCAACACAAGCACCATTTCAACCATGTCTACATGTACAATTCAGTGACGTTGATCACAGCTTTCGAGTTGTGCAACCGTGTTCACTCTCCTTTTCTGACTTATTCCTCCTTCGTGAACATAAATTCACTGCCTCCCACATTTCCTGTCTAATGTTTTGAGCTGTTGTCATCTGTTTGATCCTGTATAGATAGATCTTTAAAAGAGTATAATACTCAAAAGTGGATACTTTTTGCTAGTTAAACTAAACTAGTTAGTGCCTAAGGCATTTGACTGCTACTCAGGAGGCTGGCGGTTCGTACCCACCAGCTACTCAGAAGGAAGGATGGGCAGTCTACTTCCATAGTGATATACTGTCTCGGAAAACCTATGGGTAGGGGTCGATATGAGTTGGATCTACTTGACAGCACTGAGTTTAGTTTTGTTTGGTATTGTCAAGTTTTAAGAAGACTTCAGGGGATATTTTGGTTTAAGGTTTAAAGATTATCTCAGGGCACCTCTCAATCCTTTTCCTTATTTTCTTTTAGTTAAGGCCCTGCCAATTTACAACCTAATTTTTTTTTTTTTAAATCAATTTAAGAATAGGCCATCTTAAGTCCAGGCCAGTTTCCCATTTCCCTTGATGTCATTTGGGCCTATGTAAATTTATCTCAAGGACTGGTTTGTAGCTGAAGAGTCTGAGACTGGATTATACTGCAAACCAAGCAAAGAGCAACAACCTGGCTATGGGGAATATGTGATTTAAATGGAATAAACTCAATGTCAGTGGTTTGGTTTGGGGTTTTTTGGTTCCTGCATAAATGTTTGCTCATTACTGTCTTTTTGTTCCCTGCCTTCACATTTCTTGTTCTTTTAGAAAACTGTAAGCATTTCAGACCATGGCAATGTAACCTATAATGGAAGCATTTGTGGTGATGACCAGAATGGTCCAAAAATAGCAGTACAATTTGGGTCCAGTTTTTCGTGGATTGTGAATTTTACAAAGGAGATAACTACTTACTCAATTGACAGCATCTCATTTTCTTACAATACTGGTGATAACACAACATTTCCTGAAGCTGAAAATAAAGGTAACCTTCAGAATTGGATTTATGTTCTAGTCTTTTGATTTTCATTAATAATAAAAATATAAATAATTTAAAAATCATCATAATGCATGCTTGTCTTCCTAATGAGAATAGAGACTTCCATCTCTTCTCCCCAACCTATGCAGTAGTGTTCAACACAGTGATATTTGCTCTCATTACATGAGTGCTTTACTTTGTACCAATTATAATCCTAGGTGTATTACCTGCAGTGTCTCATTTATCCTTAACAGCAATTCTGTGAAGCAGATATTATCTCAGTTTTACAGCTAGAGAGTGAGGTTTGATGGGATTCAGTGACTTTCCCAAAGGTCACACACTACAGTAAGTAAATGAGTTGGTGTTTGGTCTTTTGAGCTACAGCGTTCATGCACTTAACCATCATTATTTATTTCATTCACTAGTGGGCACTTAATAAATGTTAAATGAGTGAGAAAATCCTTTAGTAATAACTGTTTAAATGTATACAAATTCAAGATCCTGAGACAGCAGAAATGCTGGATCTCTGAATCTTCTTACAGTTGAGAGAGGATTTTAACTGAACAGTCTATGATGGCTGATTAAAGGTAAAATGACAGAAGTCGCCATTTGCTGCTATTTTGAGACAGTTTCAGGTCAAAGTGAACTTGGGAATGCATTGGCCTTTAGGTCATTCTTGTAATTCCAGAACTGAAATGTTTATTGAAGACATTTTGAAGGCATGGGTGGTGGAGATTTTAATTTTGTTAGGGATGTAATTCTTTCTTTCTCCTCATTAAGATTGGGGTAACATGGTGTTTGTAGTAGTTTAGCTCTTGTCACAGGTAGTGTTTCACTTTGACTCCACAAACAGGTGAATGGACTTCACTGCTCAGACCCTCAAGATGAATAGCTCATTTGCATATCAAAGGATCGCATTTTAAAGATGTGCTGGAGTGAAGGAGCTCATGTAAAACTTTCGAGGTGTTGCCCACTGAGACTTAGAAAACAATCCTGGTTTTCTTTTACTAATCTCTTGAGAGGATAACTAAGACAAATAGTTATTGCCTATCTTATGACCGTATTTGGCTTTGTGCCTGCAATGTCATTCAGAAGTGGCACAAGATTCACCCCTCACTCTCCAGGAGCTTAAAAATTAATTAGACAAAACTAAAGTCTATTCCCAAATTATATGGAAAAAAAACAGGGAAAGGTTGAGGTCAGTATGATTGTTGTTATTGTGTGGGAATAGAGAGTTGGTAATAGTTTCTGACAATCCGAGGAAAGCTATCAGTGCTCCCTCTCAAGAAATAAAGTGCACAGTAAACTTTGCCTGTGGTTTCATAGTCCCTGAGGCCTTCTGTAGACACCCCCCCCCAGGTTGGGAGTGCCTGATTTATCAGTGTTCTGACAGGTGGTTGTGATTAGGAGCAGAAAGAAGGGAGAGGCCAGTTTGCATTGGAGTCAGAAAGCTTTGTATGATAATTAGGACCTGAGCCGAAACTGCTAATGGTTGAATTTGCATTAGCGGGGGTATTTCCAGCCTGGGGGAAGCATGCCTGCAGTAGTTGGAGAGGTGCCTGATTAAATAGAGGCTGTGTATGTGGGAGAGAGAAAATAAAGTTGGCTAGATGCAGTGGGCCTAAATTATAGAGAGCCTTGAAAGGCATTTAGCTTGATGGCACAGGCACTGGGGAACCAATTTAAGTTTTTAAGCAGGTAAATGATATAACAAAAGCAGAGGCAGTAGTTTATAAAGAACATTCTACAGGATTAATTGGGAATTGAGGAAAGTGTAGGCTGGGATGCCAGTGTAGAGGTTGTTACAGTAATCAAGGGATGATGTAATAAGTGCCTGGACCAAGAAGGTAGCTGTAAAAATGGAGGAAGGGCGTAATCTGACACATGTGGATGGAGGAAACTGCAGCATCTAAAATGTTTTAACATCTGTTCCTCCCCCCTTTTTATCTTAAAAAAGGGAAAGATACTTTATTACTAACTTGTATGTAATAAAATATTTTTAATGAATTAGGATTTGCAGTGGCTTCTGAGGGAACTCTGGTAGCATAGTACCTAAGGCACCTGACTGCTAACCAGAAGGCTGGTGGTTCAAACCCACCAGCCACTCCTCGGAAGGAAGATGGGGCAGTCAACTTCCGTAGTGATATTGCCTCGGAAACCAAAGGGAGGGGTCGCTATGAGTCAGTTCCGACTCAACGTCACATAACAACAACAATGGCTTCTGAAATGAATTGTTGGTAATTGTTTTTGAAATAAATCATCATTTTATTTTTAGGCATCTGATAATTGAAGTGACTCTGAAACTACTGTTTTAATTCCTTTTTTTTTTAAAAAAAAACTTTCTCATGGTTAAAATATAGAAAAGTACAAAGCCATAATATAATAGATCCACATGTACCCATTAGCCAGAATTAGTAAATGTCATTTTTAATAATTTGTTTTATCTCTTCATTAACTTAAACAAACACAGATACACTGAAGTTTCCTGTATATCCACTCCTTAGTTCCATATTCCTCCTCCTCTTCCCAGAGGTAACCATTTCTCATAAATTTGATGTGTTCTACCTGTCCATGTGTTTATATTTTACTGCATGTGTACTTATTGGTAAGCAATAATTAAACTTTTAGAGTTTCAGTGTAATTTTCTTAGGTCTACAACTTCAGTTTTAGTCATTTATCTATCTGTCTATTTATTTCTTGTGATTTGGGTGAAAGATCACACAGCAAATTCACTTTCCATACAGCAGTTCACATACACTTTGTTTCATGCCATTGACTACAATGTACCCCAGTGCAACAGTTCCCCTCCCACTTCCTCCCAGTAGTCACCTCTTCCCTGTGTCCATCCCTCCATGCCCTCCTGCCCCCTGAGCTGTCTCTCTGTGCATAAGCAGCCCATCTTTCTCCCATGATTGTTCTCTCCAAG